CCCACACAATCCATCTTTGTGTCGTTATTGGATACAAGAGATACTTAAACCCATTACAGAAATTACAATTGAAAAATATAATCCCAATACTTCCTCTTCTATTAGATATTACCTTAATTGTTGATTCTACCCTAAAATCTCACTAGTTGTAAAAATTTGAAAGTTTTCTTCAAAATGAGAAGAGGAGATAGCGAGATCTAAATTAAACACCACAAAAGTTTTCTGAACAACATTGCTTACTAGTATTAAAAGTGGGCCTAAAATATAGCACATTCCACAATAAGTTGTCGATCCACTAGTAACAGATTATATTGAGGACTTCTTGTACCCCATACTGGATACCATTCCCTGATATTCTTCTCAGCCATGCTCACAAAAAGGTCATTTTGGAACCATGGTCCCTTCACTCCAAGCCTGCAACAAATGTGAACAAAAAAAATAAAGGGGGTTATTTCAAAGGTAATAAACTCCATTATTTTGTTTATTGAAAAAATAATGATTTGTGCAAAAGTCAGAGAAAAAAGTACGTACATGATCAAGAGAGATGTGGATGCATATTTTGGTAAATCACTAATTCGATATTGGTAATGATAGGCTTGATAAACACTGTTTTTGTTTGTAATACATGAATCTTTTCAAGAACCACTGTCATTTGGTAGAAACAAGCACTTAGCTTGTCTTTCATTAGAATATAACTTTGATCCATACTCATCATTAGAAACTCAATATTGGAACAATAAACTCATCACCAATAGCTAGTTTGCATTGTATGCAAAGGAGGAAAAATAGGGTAAATCAAATTGAAGGGAATGAAAAGAGAAGAGAGATGGTTCTTGAAAAGAAAATGTTGAAATTGGGACATATATATAGTAGGAAGATGCTAATTAATCATTATTACATAAAAGAAAAGTGAATCATAATGGATTTCATTTTTTAACTAGGAGCATAATTAAGCGTAGTCATCCCCGTGGTTTGAGTGTCATTTATACTCTATATCATATATTTTCTTGATTGAGAAAAAAAAAATGATAACTAATCTTAAGCATAAAAATACTATATATATATATGCATTGATCATTCGATTATAAGTAATGACAAAACAATATTTATCATTAATTGAAGTTTCGTTTGATAGGACGTTGCTTATCAATCATTTAGATATAAAAAATTATTGACATAATTTTATCTTATAATAAAGTTTCATAATTCTATTTATCAAAAAAAATTGTAATTCTATGTTACAATAATTATGATGACACTTTTCACTTAACAAAATGTGTGCATTGATATTTTTTGTTCAATAGTTGTGTGATTTGAAATATATTTACTCATTTAAAAACATGTAGATATTGTGAAATTTCAATGTGAGTTAAGGTTGTCGTTAGAATATGATTGATATTCAAAATCGTAAAAATTATTAATAAAGTACTTGATGATGTATAACGTATCTATTGTTGTTTTCTTAAAAAAAATATTCCTACAGTTTAACATATATAGATCAAATCACAAGTTAATGTCATCAGTAGTTCATGTGAATGGAATGTGAAGGAAAGAGCATGATAAAACATTGCAAAATAGTGTAGGTAATCACTCCTTTGTAATTAATGTCTTAATTATAGAAGATTATGTAAAATCTTAATGGATTCTTTGTAATCTAGACATAATTCCACCTATAGCATACTATTAAATTAAATGCATTAGGCTAAATGCCTAGTCCTTGAACTTTCAATTTCGAACAATTTGTCTCTAAATTATTTTTTATATTTTTTGTCCCTTAACTATAAAGGATATGTTTTTTTTTCCTTATGTGAATTTTGTCCATTAAGTCTATATAACTGGTATTTTTTTTTGGTTTCTGAACGTTTGTTTTATGCATATTTAGGTCATTGGAAGAAATTAAAAAAATGCTTGTTGGACAAATTTAATAGCAAAAATTGAATAATTAAAAATGATAAAAGAAAAAAAAGGGTCAAAACAAACATTTAACATGTTGCTTCGATGGCATGCCATATAAATGTTAATGTGTTGCTCACTAGGATGGAAATACTATTTACCTAACATCTGTGCTTTAAATCTATTAAACAACGGAGAATTCAACCAAATCACATTGTTAGGGTGCCAATACTCTCAAGTTTTTAGATGAGAGCCACTAACATAAAATCTATAAGTTAGGGGGCTAAATAGAGAGTTAAGCCTAAAATTTCAATGGATTTTTATAATTTGAGGCATAATTGTACCTATGGTAGACTATTAAATGCACCATTTTTACCCTTTTCAAGTATAATTAT